TAAAATGGACCGACCTCCTAGTAAAGTGGACCGACCTCCTAAAAAGTAGAAGACCGACCGCTAATACTGAGTACAAACCGACTTCTAATAGATAAAGCGGACCGACCTCTCAGCAAAGTAGACCGCCTCTCATCACCCGCGCGTGGGGTACTATTTGACACTGTTTTACAACCCCATACTTCACTACCGGTTAATAATTATTTGTATGAGTATGAGAGAGAATACCTCAGGTAACACAAGCAATTGTAAGATAAGAGTGTCCCCTCCTTTTTTGTTGTGTGTTGTGAAAATGACACCTGACTATAATGCTCGCAGATAAACAATAGAGGATAGCCGTCGCCCCCACACCATCCAAGATCACACACAGCATACGCAAAGCAGATTGTAGAGAGAATGTTATGGTAGGTGGCTAACCTCCGACCGCCTCACACTTTTGTCGTACGTTGTGCTGTGGTGCTCCTCGTCTTCCCAATTTCCTTTTCTGAGCATGAAGCTCATTCAAGACTGCTGCTTCAGCCAGTCACTGTACGAATAAGAGGGGGACAAGATGGCGGTCCGACAGCGCCAGGTCGCTTCAGTACTAATACAAGGCCGTAAGTGAGAATGTAGGCATTAATTTAGAATATAATCCACCGTCGCTTTCAATGAGGTTTGTCTTGTCGTGTATTCTTACGCGAGCACGTTGGACGAACCTCGTCGATCCTGCGTTCCTTCACGTTTTATTTTAGGCTTATAAAACCCAAGTTATTGTGAATGAAGCCAATAAAAATGGCAATACTGTGGGAAAGAGAGCTCATTACTAAAACAAGGCGGTAACCATGCATTATAGCATTAGCCAGAAAAAGGGACACACATAACTCATGCAATCAAGACCTTACCATCTTAACAGTTACGGCCTCAAAATTACTCAATTTTGTGTTGTTCCCCTCCCCTTCCCCAGACCCTCCAACCTTGTTGCAAGCCACATGTCGCGACGACAAACGAGGGAGGATGAGGCAACGGGCGAGGTTCAGACGCTGGTCGGAAAATTGACGGGACCAGGAAGGGTAGACCGCGCCGAGAGAAACACGCCCCTGTACCAAGGCAGACAAGCGCAAAGAAGAAGTGATCGCAACGGACCAGAATTTCCGGGCCGATTTGCCACCCACCACCAACCTAGAACCCACACTCAGGGCTGGCTCTATTGCTGGTGTGGGATTTCTCGCCCTTAACTCCATTTTCAGCAAGGCCAACTTTGATGGTGTGGCAATAGTGAAGAGAGGGGAGAGGTTTGATCCTTGTTTCAAAGACTTGGGCACGGGAGTCTATCACTATGTGGCGTTGATTGTGTTTTCCAGCCCTGCCTACTGGTAGCTACGTGGGTAGAGGCTGTGTCTAATTGCAGAGTGTCAATTTACACTATATATAGGCAACTCTTATCTTTGGGTTTTTATGCAATTTTCTCCGCATCGATCCGCCCTTTCTCTCCCCTCTCAGACCAAACTGACTATCAATCTTACTAGATATTTGCCTAGTAGAATTAAGACATGTAACATGTAGTAGCGAAACAACAGTGGTCGAGAACCGTTTATTTCACCGTCAATCCATCTCCTCCCCACACCGTGCCTCATCTCCCAGGAAGTCTCGACGAAACCAGTGAGCCGGCAGAGGACTTACACGGTCATAGCCAAAGGCCCAGCCTCCTCTCGTCTGAGATGGAGGAGCTAAGCGGCGTCTACTACCGACCTCGGACCCGAGAGGACGGAAAATCCACCCGAATCCTCCTCAGCTTCATCCCGAAGATGATTGGAGACCAGGTACAGCACACAATCTTGAGTATACTATCGGAGTCCGTGTTAAAAGTTCCACCTTTGCCCAATCCTCATTTTTACAGACTCTCTCTCTGCGTTGACATCACTTACTTTCCCAGTCTCTCATGTTTTGTGTGCCCTAAAAAAGGTTGTTGTGCACTTACAAAGATTAAGCTGACCTGTATTCGGTGAGAAATATGGTTTAGCCGTCTGGTGTGCACTCCATAATAATATTATACTGACTGACCCATGAAGCTGTAGTTCACTTTGTAAACTCTGTGTCAACCTCGTGATGTTCTGTGCGGAGCGGCAGCGAGGTCCTGACCACGCTCAAGGCCGACCACATGAAAGAGAAGGAGAAGAAGAAGGAGATATCCTCGCTGCAGGAGCTCTGGACGACGAACGGTTTGCCATGCTCTGCGGCTCGGTCGACGCATCACTGACTACGGAACTGACAAGGCGCCGCTATGGAGAGTGAGTGGCACTGCAGCATTTACATTGACTAATCACGACACTGTAGTGGATCAGAGGAATGTGTACATTAGTGAGGTGTTCTCGTTATGGAGTTCAAAGAACCTTTCTTTGGGAAAGAAAAGGTTCAATTCAGGGGGTGTACTGAGGTGTTTCATGTACTAACACTGCCATGGTACATACACATACACATACATACAGTTGTGGGTATGTAGTGGTAGCGGGTGTGGCGAAGGGTCGATGGGTGTGGCAGGGGTCGTGGGAGGTGGGGGTGGGAGGATCTACTCGGCCAGTCGCGGAGAATGGAGTGAATGAGATGTAATTGTTTGGCCACTTGGGAAAGTGGAGGGAGATGGAGCATGTAGAGGAATACCACTCGGCCCATGTTAGTGCCATTCATTATCACGACCTCAGTTAAGATGTGAGCCTGAAACGTCGTATTAACCCCAAGCTATCAGTCCTTAGCCCTGTAGTGCAGTGTGTCTCGTTTAAGATGTCTGATTTCTGTGTAATTGGTTTATGATCGGCTTAATGCTGTCTTATCTTTCCCCTTCTCCCTTCCTATGCAGCTGATGCCATAGATGAGAACTATGGAGGGCGGTGGTGTTCCAGGAGGAGGAGGGAGAGGAGGGAGGAAGGACAGAGAATGTGGTGGCCACGGAGCAGGACCCAGCAGGAGGAGATGAGTGCAGACCCCGAGAAGAGGGCCATCCTCAAGGTATGCATTCACCTATGAGATTGGTTAACTCCAGACACTTCATTGTGGCACCAAATATATAGTGGCTGGTGGTTTTCGGCACACATGTATATAAAGCAGTCCACACTCCTCAGTACAGTATGCGAGTATAGACACGTGTCCATGCACATACGATGAAGAGTTAAAATGGACTTAAAATGCTGACCTAGGAAGACTGGTGTTCGATCCGCCCTCCATACAATATTCCCATTTTGCACTTTATAGACTATCTTGGTCTCCCTCATCTTCTCTTTGCGCTCTCTCTTCTCTTCCTCACACCAGGCCCTGTCACTGTGGAGTCAGTAGGACATGTTCAGGAGTTGAGAGAGCCAGGAGCCGCTGTGTGTCGAAAATCTCGGACTGGAGTCAGACCTCTGACGCCGTGAGAATGCTGACCTCGCAGGAGAAGAAGGGTGTGAGTGAAAGATTATTGCTATCGTACTATATCCATCGCGGGATATCAATGAGTCTCATTTACTGTGACAACTGTCTGCGTGCCTTCTTACACCTGTGTCCTCTGGCAGCTGGGGTCGAGAAGGTGTGTCGGACCTGGAGGACCTGGGAGGTGTTGTTCACGGACGAGTCCTTTCACCATGGCCACAAGAGATGCAGCTCCCGGGAGGGCTCTCTTCAAGACAGACCAAGTAAGGATCCGAGAGTGTCCAATTCCGTCCCCGCACTCAAACCCTAAACGCGTTTGACGTGAAAGAGGTTTGCTCCATAGATACGACTCACGCCCTTCACTATACATAGCACGTGGTGATCAGTGAGTAGTTAACTCTAACTAGCCTATATTATGGCTAAGGGAACAGGGTTGTGGGTTAGAGTAGATGATGGCAAACGGATGTATTTACCGTCCATAATTGTACTGATATTCTCTCCTTTAAAAATTGCTGCAGAAAATTATGTGTGTTACAAAGTGTTGTCTCTCCTCAGTCACTGAGGCGATTGTGGAGCTGCCAAAGTGGGCGCAGGCAGCGTTCAGCAACTACCGCTCCTCACAGGATACAGACCAGACTCCAAGAGACGGCCCTCCACTCGGACGAAACATCCTCCTCTGTGCCCCCACTTTATGTCTCTTCTCTCTCTCCTCCAACACCAGGATACCGTTGACCTAGTGTACTAAGTATGCAGCATACTATTTTAGAACTAGTGCATAGAACGTTACCTGTTGTGTTTTTCCTTCTGACTGGCCACTGTAGCGCTTCAAACAGAGATAGAGCAATTCAGACAGCAGAAGGGGTGCACTTGGCTTACAGGCTTAAACCGTTCTATAGATAGGTATCGTGTCCATCAAATAGGGGGGAAAAAGCTGAAGCAAGTGTCTTACCGTCGTCCACCGTGTTGTGTCCCAGGTGCTGGAAGACCAACGTAGCTCTCCTCTGCATCCTAGAGAGCTCCACAAACACATGAACCCGATGACACTGTCAATCTGGAGTCGTTCAGGTCATCTACATCGCTCCCATGAGGTCCCTCGTACGGAGATGGTCGCCAACTCTCCAAGGTACTACATACTACTATATACACTCACTATGTAGATCCTAGAACATGTGTAGGGAGCTTTTTTTTTACATCCGGTTTTTGTGAGTGCTTTTGTAGAAATGGAGGTGCGCTGCTAGTGAGCATATTGGCAGTGTACCATGAGCAATGGCTTATGCGAAAAAACACGAGGCTAATCATAACTTTGAGGCGTAATGTTCCCTTGAAGTTTGGTTACAGATAGTTGATGAATTAGCTTAGCATGTGTACGTATCTGTCGTGAGTCAGTCTTCTGCGCATGCAGCGTCTGTGCCGTACGGAGTGACAGTGAGCGAGTTGACGGGCGAATCACCAGCTGAACAAGGAGCAGATTATGGCCACCAGTCATCGTCTGCACCCCCGGAGAGTGGGACATCATAACTCGCAAGAGCGGGATGAGGATCCTACACCCAGCTTGTCAGCCTCGTCATCCTTGTGAGTGTATATACTTACACTAACATTTGGAACTTCTTTCTCTAGCGCTTTACCTTATACAGTAGGGGTTCATTGACGATTCAATTTGCCTCTCTCTTTCCTAGCCTAAACTGTGTTGTAGTCAAAGCACCCAATGATTATTACTACCATGACCTTTCTCTGCTAGCTTACGGCGTACATAGTATATAGGACCTAGATTCCTAACACAAGTAGTGAGTAAGTGTGTGTGTGGAATGTTGACTACTTGTCTCAGGATGAGATCGCTTGCTGCACGACAGTCGAGGTCGGTCTGGAGGCTATGTGGCTCGGACCATACGCCACAGATCGAGGCCACCCAGGCGATCCTCAGACGTCATGGCCTCTCTGCACACTTTTTATGTCCATCAACTACGAGATCTCGTCACTGTATACACACACCATATCACACATTCATAATGTGCTGTAGTCTATGAGTTCGTTGAATATACATACATACATAGGGTTCATTTCTAGGTATACCGTTCTTGCCATCTCTCCTTCTCACTGTTGCCTTAGTTCTCATCCCTTCTTTGTGCGACCCCTCATGTCCCTCTCTTTTTCACTCTTATTCTCTCCCCTTTGTCTCTTACCCGTGCCACCTGACCTGTACATACCTATAGGATGTTTCATGTGGCCCACCTGTCCTGCGAGTGGATCCAGCCAAGGGGTCTGTACTACTGCGACTAACATGCTACCGTCCCGTTCCGCTGGAGCAGACGTACATCGGAATCACAGAGAAAAAGGCTCTCAAAGCGATTCCAGGTTAGTTACAACAACTATGCAAAGTGCTAATGATGGCTTAGAGAGCATGCACACCAGTGCAGCATTTTTTCTCTCTTCCTTGCTCTTAACACTATGAAGTGAGCCTCGATGGAACACAGATAGATAGCAGATTTGTACACACATTACTGAGAATCACTAACTATGAAAAGCATGGTCTACAAAGTGTTGTGGTGCATTATAGTTTAGTTAGTAGATACATGTGCACTGAGTTACAGGTGTTCTGTTTTTCTGCAGGTGATGAACGACATTGTGTATGAGAAGGTGATGGAGAACGCGGGGAGGAACCAGGTCCTCATCTTTGTCCACTCCCGTAAAGAGACGTCCAAGACGGCGCGGGCCATCCGAGACATGTGTCTGGAGAAGGACACGCTGGGACTGTTCCTGAAGGAGGACTCGGCCAGTACCGAGGTCCTGAGGACCGAGGCCGAGCAAACTAAGGTGAGGCCAGGCTGCTGCATGCAATAGGAATTGTGAAATTTGCAGTTGGAAGGCTAATCAAATGCGCAATGTGTGTATGTGCCTGCGTGTTTGTGTTGGGGAGGAAGGCACTGCAGAGCAGCACGGGAAAACCCGTGGAAGTTTAATCACCACTAAATTCTCAGTTTTCTCCTCACTGATATGAGCCCACTTTCTTGCATTGACTGTTATTGCTAGTTCTCTGTATGTACATATGTACCCTTCACATCACGTATCATCTTCTGCCATTAAATTGTAGTCGAATCTCTGCCTTCAGTTTGCTCTCCAAACACCAGTCTGTCCCAACGTTCCTCACAGAACCCGGAGCTGAAGGACCTCCTGTCCTACGGGTTTGCCATCCACCATGCCGGCATGAACCGAGTGGACAGGACACTGGTTGAGGAGCTGTTTGCCGATAAACACATCCAGGTCCTGGTGTCCACCGCGACGCTCGCCTGGGGAGTCAACCTCCCCGCACACACCGTCATCATCAAAGGAACACAGGTCAGCTCTTATGTATGTATGTAATAAGTGCAAGAGTTTTACAATAGTGGTGTTGGCTTTTCAAACGCATTTGCATGCGCACAATTTAATTTTTGTCTGGGTACAATCACATAATATATTTGAATGCAACAACGATTCATAAACTACATGTATCCATAAGTCAACTAAGATTTCCACCAGAGTCATTTCTTTGATTCTTCTTTACTGTACGTACATCTCTACATCTTCAATGTATACATCTTCGTTGGTCCTTCCCTCGTCAGTACAGAGCCTGAACTCAATGTCGTCAGTAGTAGGTTGAGGCAGATCCTTGCAGAACCAGCCGCCTCTGCCGCAGCAATTCGGTGTCCACAGCCACACAGCTATGTCCATCCCAGAGTCGATCGTCTGAGACGTATGTGTTCTTACCCTCGTTATCACAGAAATAATCATTTCCAACAAAGGAGGGAACGGTAGGATTATTACCACATACACAATAGGGGCTGCGGTCTGATTCCCTGCACTGATGGGATGCTGCCATAGAAGTCTGCCTGACTTGAAGCAGAGGCTGTGGCCACCACCAAGAGCACTAGAATTAGCTTCATTTTTTGAAATTTTTGCTTCGGCTGTGAGGTTCTTAACAAGGCACAGAGGGCTTTCTTTATATACTCTGCTAGCAGGTAGTCTGGGGAGGATGGGGGTACCAAACTATGCACTAGGAAATACTACAGTGAAACATTGTAGGCAGTCTCCTGTCTCCAGTAGTTTGTGATGACAGGCACAAACATTTCACTGGAAAACCACTCTAGCTGGGAGGACAGACTTCCTTTGGTTTTCACTACCAACCACCATCAGTTCTCTCACCTACTCTTTAAGTATAAGAGCTACACACAATACATGGCCACTTTAACTCTAACTTCCTGATTTGGTGGTCTCCATTTTCCAGGAAGGAGACCACAGGATTTTTCAGCATGGCCTGCCCCCTCATATCAGGGGGGTGGATGTAGGGATGGGACTGGACAAACAACATCATACTTTGGAGTATCTAAATCCATGGGGAAGAAGACTGAACCTCAGCCAATATCCACTCTCTTGCCACTGACTATCCTACCACCACCAGCATTGGCCACCAACTTGGGCATTGTCCCGGTGTCTATTGAAATTCCCAAGACCAGCAGGAGAAGCTTCATTTTTGCTTTTGGGATTTTTTGACGCTCTCTTTGTGCAAGTGTGCGCATTTTTCGTGTATAGGGGATGCTGCCATCGAAACTAGAGGCAGAGGCTGTGGCCACCACCACCAGCAAGAAAGATACTTCATTTTCAGGCTCTTTCTTCAACCTCAGTTGCTGGTCTGACGTTTTTGACAAGACAGAGAGGGCTCTCCTTTTACTTCTGATTACATAACTTTGGAGACCACTACTCACCTAAGGTTCACTAAATGTCCTATGTCATAAACCAAGAGACCTTTATGATTGCATACAAAGAGGCAAGAGTTCGCACTTACTCTAGTTGTCCTTCCATAATATAATTTTTTTATAGTACTGAACTACTGATCCACTAGAAGACAACTGCTTCTTCTGATATAGATTCCACCCAAGGTGGATTCTTACGTACATAACGTGTTGCCCTGTGAGAGTATTGCTCATTAGCTACCAGATGGACAGCTCTGTCTGTCGTATAAATATGAGATTAGCTGGTCTGTATGTGCATGTTTGTCCTTTGAAATTGAAGGAGGTAAATTTTGTGTGCACGACGTTGTCTTCAAGCAGTTCAAGGAATTACAAGATTCTGTCGAGCACCTTGCACGAGTGATATCTCGCACCATTCAGAAACATGACTGGCTACTCAATGGTGTGGCCACTGAAATGGAGATCACATATTCTGTTCATGGCTACTCCACCTATGTGTATGCAGATAGGAAATGACTACTGAAAGCAAAAAGGAAAAACCATCAGTTTTTTTTTCAACTCGTGTCTTAGCATCTGGAGTCTCGGTCACCAGACTTGACTTATAACAGAACCTATATGGTTGCTGTTCATCCTTTCTGTAGGTGATTCCCACCTTGTGTTCAATGGGGGAATAAAATGTACTACCCCTTACTCTTTTTGCGTCAGTCACATGCTGCTTGACTAAAAAATTGCCCATGTGTGAAAATTTGCGTTTCTTTGCTTACGGCACTGCACGCATATTATGCATATTCTTTTGCACCAAGAGTTATAATATAACAACATCATTCAAAAATCAGTTAATGTAATACACTATCACTACTTTCAAACTAAAAATGTGACAGAGTCCAGCGGAAGTTATTCACTTTATGTATATCTCTACGTCTTCAATATACACATCTTCATCTGCCCTGTTCTGGTCGGTACACACCCTGAACTCAATGTCGTCAGTAGTAGATTGAGGCAGATCCTTACGGAACCAGTTGGCTTCATCACAGCACTCCTCGGCACCAGTCAGACAGCCCACTCCGTCCCAGAGTTTATCAGCACTACTAGAACCACTAACATCACAGAAATAATCCGTCCCTACGAATGATGGGACAGTAACAGGGGGATTGGAGCTACAGGGACAGGAAGCCAAGGATGTTGTGGCTGCCAGAGTCCAGATGTGCTGTCGAGGAGAACTGCCATGAGTGATGCTTACACCATCAATGTATCGTTGGTTTATGCTGACAGCCGCACTGTTGAATGCATCGGGAGATGCCTTTCTGGTAGCCATAGACCCTTCCACAGACTTCGGAGTAGCTGACTCCATGGTGGGGAAGATTACTGAACTGCAGCCAGTTATTGCAGTCTTCCTGCACGGGATCGTACCACAAGAATTCACTGACACCAGTCCTGGTGGACAGCCACTGTTAGAGGTAATGGTTCCAACCAGCGTCCAGCCTTGAGACTGGCTGCAGGGTGGCATTCCGTGAGCCGTGGCCACCGCTACCAGCAAGAGAAGATACTTCATTTTCAGATTTCTTTTTCGGTGCCTTGGTTGCTTGACTGGCCACTAGGAAGGGCATTCTTTTTATACTCTGCTGAGCCGATGAGCACACACTTTCGCTGGGGAGTCACTAAAAATTAGTATTCTATCGGGAAGCACCCACTTACCATCACTACAAGTAACTGACCACAATTCTGTATTGTTATACAGTTCAACTGTGAGTACCACAGGCTAACTGATCTAGTCTTAGGCAAGCAGACCATGGGTCCTCCTCAAAGGAGTCACTAAAAATTAATATTCTATCAGGAAGCATCCACCCTATGTATATTTCATCACACAAGTATACCACAAGTAACTGATCTAGTAGAAGGGCCTTAGGCAAGCAGACCTCCCCATGGGGTCTCCTCAAAGGAGTCACTAAAAATTAATATTCTATCAGGAAGCATCCACCCTATGTATATTATACCATCACTACAAGTAACTGACCACATCTAGTAGAAAGGCCTTAGGCAAGCAGACCATTGGCGCCTCCCCATGGGGTCTCCTCAAAGGAGTCACTAAAAATTAATACTCTATCAGGAAGCACCCGCCCCATGTACCATCACTCACAAGTAAGTGACCGCCACCACCTGTCAGTATGAGTTCTACTGGGAGTATATACCACTGTATACTAATGCATGCAGACCATGGAGTCTCCTCCACCATTTTTCTGCTGTTCAGCAGTGGGAGTACAAACTACTCTATTTCCCTAACCATCCTCAGTAGGATTGACAAGGCATCATTAGCATGACCTTACCGATCATAAGTATACGTACTTGGGCTTTGATGTGCATCTGAATTTTGTGTAACCAAGGGAAATCTTGTACAAGCTTTTCAATTGCTGCTTGCCTTTCATGCACCATAACAAGTACAGCAGGAGGAGTGATGAGCTAGTATATGCATGAGCATTCCTCTGCCACCCGTCGCATACAATCAATATTAAACCGACATAACAGCTGTATTGACCAGCAAGTACCCATCCAAATATAGCAAATATCCATCAACTACAGCGTCTTCATATGAGTCTGTAAACCTAAGCTAAGAATCCAACAAGTTGGGTTCACAGAGATCCATAGAAAATCTTCATATCCATTACCCTAATGACCCTGTCATTAGTAGTTCATTGCCACTTCATCCTTTGCACTCTCTGTCTATTCCTGCTCTTAAGGTAGCCATGCTTTGCCACAACCACAGGTGTACAGTCCAGAGAAGGGGCGGTGGGTGGAACTGGGTATGCTGGACGTGTTGCAGATGCTGGGTCGAGCCGGACGGCCGCAGTACGACAAGAAGGGGGAGGGTGTCCTGCTCACCAGTCACTCTGAGCTCCAGTACTACCTCTCCCTCATGAACCAACAGGTGGGGAGCTAGATAGACCGTGAATTGCATCGAGGTGTGGGGAGGCATAGGTGGATGCCAAGTGTCAGAAACTTAAGCTTACTCTGAACTTGTATAATTACACTTTAACAGCTGCCGATTGAGAGCCAGTTCATCAGTCGACTAGCCGACAACCTAAATGCAGAGATTGTGCTGGGCACAGTCCAGAACGCCAAAAGACGCCGTCAACTGGCTAGGTACGTCAACCCCAGTACCACAGAGAACCCAGTTCTCTGCAGTCAGAGCTCAATACTCTTCTCTCTCTCTCCCCCAGGTTACACATACCTCTACATCAGGATGCTGCGGGCCCCGCAGCTGTACGGAGTGGACCCAGATGACCTGGAGAGCGACCGACTGTTGGACCAGCAACGAGCTGACCTCATCCACACCGCAGCCTCTCAGCTCAGCAAGTGCAACCTCATCAAGTATGACAAGAAGAGTGGAGCCTTTCAGGTCAGCCATTGTACAGTACCTTTCACTCGCCATTCAAGACTGTTTTCCTCTTTACTTGAGCTCTTACTGACTCGTTCGTTTCTCTTTAAAAGTGCCTATATAATATACACCTAAGAAATTCTTACGCAGTTGCAGTTCAATGTTGAATGCTACAGGAACGAATGGGAGCAAAATGATACCTACTTGTCACTGCTCTCTGTCCCTCAATTCTCTCTCTTTACTCAATCCCCCGTCTGACTCTCCGCATGCTCTCTGTGAACCAGGTGACAGAGCTGGGTCGGATTGCCTCTCACTACTACCTGACCCACGAGACAATGGCCACCTACAACCAGATGATGAAGCCAACCCTCAGTCAGATTGAGCTCTTCCGAGTCTTCTCCCTCTCCTCCGAGTTTAAGTACATCTCCGTCAGAGAGGTACACGTACACTTTGTCTTCACACTTTGCCAACACTGCATACTTATGGAGCATGAACTCCATTTGTGCATGTACAGTATATATATCATCTATATTATGTAGAACTCTGTTCTAAGGCTGTTTGGCATAAAGAGCAAACTAAACGAATCTTTTCCCTCTTCTAATACTGTATCCGCTTTTTCTTTTGGCATCACATAGTATTTTCTACATGGAAGTCTTCACTCTGCGTGTATTTATGGAGTCTGAAACACACACGCCCTAAAGCCTTCTCTTTATAGCTAGGGATATTCCGTGTTCACCACTCTTCTCCTCTCACTCTCGATCTGTGCGTATTCGCAGGAGGAGAAGATGGAGCTGGCAAAGCTGCTAGACAGAGTCCCCATCCCGGTCAAGGAGAGCATGGAGGAGCCAAGTGCCAAGATCAACGTTCTCCTCCAGGCCTACATCTCCCAGCTGAAGCTGGAGGGGTTCGCCCTCATGTCGGACATGGTCTACGTCACCCAGTCTGCCGGGAGGCTCATCCGCGCCATTTACGAGATCTGCCTCCATCGAGGCTGGGCCCAGCTCACCTCCCGCGCCCACTCTCTCTCCAAGATGATCGACAAGAGAATGTGAGACCTTTTATATAACCATGTTTCCTAGCACTATATAGCATGTAGCAGCGACTATAAGGGACGAAATATTTGCTGTTCAGTGGCATAGACAAAAATGTGACAACTTAACTTGTACTGCTGTAAAGTGTCCTCTGCTCAGATACCTTTCCCTAAAGCAGCGGGAGTTTTTACTTCCGAGCTGTATACGTATCTCTTCTCTTACTCTCCCCTTCTCCGCTTTTCTCTCCCCCTTTCTCCCTCTTCTGTTACTCTCCGCTAGGTGGCAGTCGATGACTCCACTGCGACAGTTCAAGAAGCTGCCGGAGGACGTCATCCGCAGGATCGAGAAGAAGGACTTCCCCTGGGAGAGGTTCTACGACCTCGGCCACAGCGAGATCGGCGAGCTGGTCCGCATGCCCAAGATGGGCAAGACCATCCACAAGTATGTCCACCAACTGCCCAAGTTGGAGCTGGCCGTGCACATCCAACCAGTCACCAGGTACGTTTCGTGTCAAATGTGTGCATGAGTGAATGTTTGTACCAGTATGTGAGGTATGTACTGTTAGTTAAGTTTGTCAAACGTATGCAGGTCCACGCTGCAAGTGGAGCTGACCATCACTCCCGACTTCCAGTGGGACGAAAAGATCCACGGAGTGTCTGAGGTTAATACTGCATTACTCTACATACATACATGGCTAGCTTTGCATTATGTGTAGCTGTGCGTAACGTACTACAGTGCTTCTGCTTTGTGTTCACTGTGGTTAGCGTGAAGCAGTCGTCGCACACTGTTTGATGTGTTTCCTGCACACTGTCTGATCTGGTGGTGGTGTGCCGTTTGCCTGCAGGCGTTCTGGATCATGGTGGAAGACGTGGACTCTGAACTCATCCTCCATCACGAGTACTTCCTCCTCAAGTCCAAATACTCTCGTGACGAGCACGCCGTCAGTTTCTTTGTCCCCGTCTTCGAGCCACTCCCTCCGCAGTACTTCATCCGCGTCGTGTCGGACAAGTGGCTGTCCTCGGAGACCCAGCTGCCCGTCTCCTTCCGCCACCTCATCCTCCCGGAGAAGTTCCCGCCTCCCACGGAGCTGCTCGACCTCCAGCCACTCCCTGTCACCGCCCTCCGTAACCCCCACTACGAACAGCTGTACTCTGACCTCTTCACCTTCTTTAACCCCATTCAGACCCAGGGTAAGAGTGTCACACTGCTGGACCCCAATCAACTGACATGTACTAAATCGTATCACATTGTAATAGTATTCGTGGTAAAAACAGCTCTTGTTCCCTTACTATTATTGGGGTAGTGGTTCGTCTTGCCGGTACTTAGTAGCATACAGTTGCACTTGAAAACGACTATGAGAATGTATGGTTAAGCAAGCACAAAGTTTGGTACATTGCAAACGACTGGTAGCTATGATAAACTGCATTATTGGCCTTGTAATGAGTTACTCTGTGTGTGTGTGTGTGCAGTGTTCAATGCTCTCTATAACACTGATGACGATGTGTTTGTGGGAGCTCCGACCGGCAGCGGGAAGACCATTTGTGCCGAGTTTGCCATCCTCAGGATGTTCTCTGCCTCTCCCAACTCTCGCTGCGTCTTCATCACTCCCAAACAGCCCCTCGCCGAACAGGTATGTACACTGTATGTCCTTCACTTTACTGTACATCTACTGGTTGCATAATATGTTTCTCAGATTGTAGTAGGGAACTTATCCTACACTCTCAATTAGGTTTCTTCTTTCCTCATCGCCGTTTTACTTCACTTTAAATCTTGTGGCTCTGTTACATATTTCAGAATGTTAGTAGGAAACTTGTGTTTCATTCTGTCGTGTTTCTCTCCGCTCAGCGCTATGCTGAGTGGCAGCAGAAGTTTGGACAGCACATGAGCAAGAGGGTCTCTCTGCTGACAGGAGAAACCAGTGCGGACCTCCGTCTACTGAGAGACGTGAGTACTGAGATTATTGAGTCAGATCTTGCACTCATGAAACGAGTGTGTAAACACGCGTACTCTGTGCTTTCTTTCCACTACACTACCTTAACTTCATTTATCCTCTGTTGTACTAGTGTTGTGCATATTCCTAAATGTCATTTTCTAAACGAAACTGCTTTTTTTGTTACAATCTGTATTTGGTGTATGTACACAGAGCAACATTGTCATTAGCACGCCAGAGCACTGGGATGTCCTCTCCCGGAGATGGAAGCAGAGGAAGAACGTACAGAACGTCGATCTCTTTGTGGTGGACGAACTGCACCTGATAGGCGGGGAGAGCGGGCCCGTCCTGGAGGTCATCTGCTCCCGCATGCGCTACATGTCCTCGCAGATCGAGCGGAAGGTGAGGATCGTGGCTCTAAGCTCGTCGGTGGCCAACGCCAAGGACCTGGGCCAGTGGCTGGGAGCCACAACTCACGGTCTCTTCAACTTCCACCCCAACGTCAGGCCTGTCCCACTGGAGCTCCACATACAGGTGAGACGAGAGTGTATGTACTCTTACTGACACAGGTGGAACACTGCCCGTGATGGTGCTCTCTGTTGTTGTGTATACAGAGACCTTGTGCCTACCTATTTAAAATTCTATTTCCCTATGCTTTGATCTCTTTAAAATAATATCTATACCTACTAACGTGTTTGTGTGTGTGCATGACATTTCAGGGTTTCAACATCACCCATACTCCGTCGCGACTCATAGCAATGATGAAACCTGTCTACCAGGCCATCTGCAAGTACTCACCAAAGACACCCGTCATCGTCTTTGTCCCCTCTCGCAAGCAGACCCGATTCACCGCCGTCGACCTCCTGACCTTTTGCGCCGCCGATCTCCAGCCGCAGCGGTTCCTCCACTGTGCCGAGGAGGACCTGAAGACACATCTCAAGCACATCCGAGACAAGGTGAGGACTGAGGGAGAGATGGGAAAGAAATAGTAAGAGTGTTTAACAAACTGGTGGGAATTGTATTTGTATAGTTGGGGAAGAAAAATTGCGCGAAAAATTGCCTTCGCTCGCCAAAACAGTTTTGCATTGGTTCCTGTAGTAAAGTGACTATCTTTGCCCCAGACCCTGGTGGAGACACTGAGCAATGGAGTTGCCTACCTCCACGAGGGACTCAGCGACATAGAGAGGAAGGCAGTGGAGCAGGTCTACTCCTCTGGAGCTGTCCAGGTGAGGCAGGAGAGAGCCGTAGGTGACTCGTGTGAGTGTCACCTGACCTGCAGGTGATCGTGGTGTCCCGCAACCTCTGCTGGGGAATGGAGCATCAACTCACCTCTCCCTGTCATCATGGACACACAGTACTACGATGGCAGAGGGCCACAGGTATGACCCATTACTGTGTTATGCAAGCCTTTCGCTTAGTACTTGCTTTTGTAATTCCACGATAAAACTATCTGTGCCAGCATTACACGGTAACCTCCTCAAAAACTATCACACCATTACTATGTTGCTCTCCCAACTACATAAGAGAATGGTTCTGCCTTTAATGTGGTAGTGATCCTCCTATGGTAATGCATGTGTGAACGCATCAAGTAAAAATATGGTGTACGCCACATTATAATGTTCCCTGTCTACGCGAGCATAGCACGAGCCATACACGGGCGAAGGGGAAACCCTTACGTTAGAGCGCAATGCGCGTGGCGCGTAATGCTCTCGCGCGGTTCTGGTGGGGCTAATGCGTGCATCTCGCTCATGCAAAGCTCATTGTTGTACTTACATAATTCATTCACAAAACTCAAACTTGTCCCTGGTGTCATGCCCTATACTTGAAGTGCGCTCACATGTGTGAATGTCTGTGTCTCCCAGGTATGTTGCCACTACCCGGGCCTGCGACGCTGGAGATGATAGGCAGAGCCACACAGACCGCTGGTGGACGAGAGCGGGTGCGCCATCTTGCTGCTGCCAGAACTCAGAAGAAAGAGTCTACAAGAGTTCCCTCTACGAGCCTCTGCCTGTGGAGGTGAGGAGGTGGTCAACCATCTCATCATCGTGGCTTGTGGCAATGGCACATCCACTGTGTGTGTGGTGCAACCTGCCACTGTACGGAGCAAGCATTCACTGATTGCCTATCAACTGTTATAACTGGCGCTTGTTCTCTCTGTTCGCGTCTTATCTGGACACTTCAATGCACGACATTCAACGCGGAGTGTGACCAAGACGGTGGAAAACAGCAGGACGGCAGTCGGCTACCTCACCTGGTCCTTCCTCTACCGCAGAATGACCCAGAACCAACAATTCTACAAACCTCCAGGTCACGCACTCGCTCTACTGGTGTACCGTACTCCCCCTCTCGTGTGCTCTGCAGGTGTGACTCCTCGTCATCTCTCCCGACCATCTACTCTGAAGTAGTGGAGAACACTCTCAGTGACCTGAGCAGTCAAGGACGTATATACCCACAGTTACTCTCTCATTCACACGAGGTTCACACCGGATGATTGGTGTGTGTATTAACGGTTGTGTGCACTTGCAGTGTATGCCCATAGAGGATGAGATGGACCTGTCGCCACTCAACCTGGGCATGATCGCTGCCTACTACTACATCAACTACACCACCATTGGCAAGTCCTACTTTTTTCTTCCTTCCCTCTTCACTCCCTGCACTCTCTAGAGCTGCAGTGTGCTATGAATCCACTGTATATTATATATAAACCTCCTTCACATCACCTGCAGAGCTCTTCAGCATGTCTCTCAATAACAAGACCAAATTGCGGGGGCTGATAGAAATCCTGGCCTCGGCAGCCGAGTACGAGAACCTCCCGATCCGCCACAAGGAGGACTCCCTCTTGAGGCAGCTGTCGTCCAGGGTCCCCCTCAAACTGGTGGGGTCGAAGTTCAACGACCCCCACACCAAGACGAACCTGCTCATCCAGGCCCACCTCTCCCGGCTCCAGCTCCCAGCAGAGCTCCAGAGTGACACCGAGGACATCCTCAAGAAGGTGTGGTGTTCATATTATTGCACTGTTAGATGATGTCAATTCATGCGTTTGTAGTTTGTAGCATCTTCAGGTAGCAGCTATTGTATGTACAACCTATGTACATTCTTGAACCCATTGCAGGCCATTCGGCTGATCCAGGCGTGTGTGGATGTTCTGAGCAGCAGCGGGTGGCTGTCCCCGGCGCTGAGTGCCATGGAGCTGGCCCAGATGATGACTCAGGCCATGTGGAGCAAGGACTCCTTCCTCAAACAGCTGCCCCACTTCACCTCTGACATCATCAAGAGATGCTCTGACAAGGTCACACACACACACGCACTCTCCCTCTCTCCCTCTCTTTTCTCTTTCTCTGTCTCTATCAACTTTCTATCTATCTACGTAGCTCTCTATTTCTATTTCTATCTCTGTCTCTCTGTCAGTGTGCTATGTATCTAGCGAATGGGTGATGTATTTTGTAGGGAGTAGAGTCTGTGTTTGACATAATGGACATGGAAGATGATGCTAGGAACGGCCTCCTGCAGTTCTCTGATGGACAGATGCAGGTTGGCCTAACATAGCACCCCCCAGGAACAGCTTGAACTGTTCTTCCTATGTAGGACGTGGCTCGGTTCTGCAACCGCTACCCCAACATTGACCTCACGTACGAAGTCCAGGACAAGGACAACATCGTTTCGTGAGTTTTTACACTCAAACTACACCCTCATTAATTGTCCCTCTCTCTTTTTCTCTCCCTCTCTCTCTCTCTCTATGATTCCAGAGGTGAGCAGGTGGTTGTGGTAGTAAAGTTGGAGAGAGAGGACGAGGAGGAGACTTTGCCTCAAGTCATTGCTCCCTTCTTCCCTCAGGTCAGCTGACTCACTCCCCTCTCTTCCTACTACCGTTAATCCTTTCCCCCTCCAGAAACGAGAGGAGGGATGGTGGGTGGTTATTGGTGACCCGAAAACTAACAGGTAAAAAATCATTGTATTATACGTTTGCTGCTTTTTTAATACTTCTTTTGACTTTTCTAGCCTTGCTTCGATCAAGAGAATGACCCTGCAATCAAAGGCGAAAGTGAAACTGGATTTCACGGCACCGGCTCCAGGTTCCCACAAATACGTCCTCTACTTCATGTGCGACGCGTACATGGGCTGTGACCAGGAGTACCCCTTCACTGTGAAGGTCTTGAACGCTTGAGACGACTTCCATATTGTATTATGCATGAGTTTTGCCAGTTTTGGTCATGCTGATTATGAGTTAACATTAAGCGCATGCGTTTCGCACCATGTCGTATACACACTGCGTAGGAACCCGGGGTCGGGGGCTGGGGTTCTGGGGCTGCGCCCCCCATATTTCGGGCTCGCGCCTATATCGTGTTTTTTACGCATGCGTGGGAGCCCCCCTTTGTCGAAACCCTCCTATAACGCACTGTGCGTCCAAGCTGGCAGGCTGTCAGGAAAAGTAGTATTCATCACTGGAGCTGCGCAGGGCATAGGAAGAGCTTCGGCGTTGGTGAGTGTGTCTTCCTGCACTGTGGACTGCGCAGAGGCGTAGCTACAGTCGAGCATGAAATTTTTGCAGAAATGTCACAGTGACGGTGCTCGAGTCATAGCCACAGACATGAATGGAGAGAAACTGGCGGAGCTGAAGCGTGAGCAGCCAGCCATCGTGACCGACACTCTGGATGTTACTCGTCGGGAGGACGTGGAGCGTCTCTTGCGGGAGAAATACAGCGACACTAATGTCCTCTTCAACTGTGCAGGGTGGGTAGGCTCACTAGTACTTTGCACGAGACTCGGATATCCCGAGACTGTCTCGGGTCATGCAGGTATGTGTTTCATGGAACTCTGCTGGACACGGAGGAGAAGGACTGGGACCGCTCCTTTGATATCAACGTGAAGAGCATGTTCTACACGTCTAAAACCTGTATTTCAATGGTGAGAGAACTGTACGTAGAGGAAGACCTTTGGGGAAATGATGTGTGTGTTCGCTACCATTCAGTGGAAGGAGAAGGGTTGTGGAGGGAACATCGTCAACATGGCGTCAGTGGTGTCAAGCATAAAGGGGGCGGAGTGCCGCAGTGTCTACGGTGCCTCCAAGGCTGCCGTGATCGGACTGACTAAGAGCATTGCGGCTGACTACGTCCAGGATGGGATCAGATGCAATGCCATCTGTCCAGGTATTTGTGAATCAACTTTCAAAGGAGAAAACTTTCGCAAATTTCACGCTGTCTGCAAAAAAGTTTTTCTGTAGGACCAAGTGTTTTCTCTTTGCTACCTAGACTGAAACATGAACATTTTTCGGCTATGCAGTAGAGGCCCCTGCTTGAGACACTCCTGTATTTATGTATGTACATAGGTACTGTGGACACACCGTCACTCAATGACAGGATAAGAGCCATGGGAGACTATGAAACTGCAAGTCTCGTCTCTCGAGTTATGACTCATCTCCAATTTGTATTATGATTCTAACAGAACCGTGCCAAATTTGTTGCCCGACAGAAGATGGGTCGACTGGGGACTGCAGAAGAGATAGCTTGTCTCTTGGTCTACCTAGCCAGTGACGAGGTAGGACAGACACACTATGTGTATGAGGTGTTATGGCTATTGATCTGCAGTCGGCATTTGTGACTGGTCAAACGATGGTGATTGATGGAGGCTGGAGTGTTTGATGGACCAATATAATAGTATGAGGGATATATTTGTTATCACCAATATGAATGCAGTCCTGTTTGTTAACAATTCAATTTTTTGCTGAAAGCCGTCCAGAGTTGTATTAAATTGGATAGCTACAGGTGGTTTCAGTATTATCTGAGCATTTTGTCATTCTGCAAATCATACTAATGACATTACTTTTTCTCTACGATGGTTGTGCTCTTATCACAAAGGACTGCAGTCCAATTCCACATACAACTACGATGTGTCCTCCCTCCCTATAGCAAATTGATAGAGAAAAACATACAGTACTATACTGAAATAGGTGTATACTTACCGCCATTGATAGAGGGTGAGAGAAGAAGTATCAGCAATGTCATGAGTTTGGCTGTGAACCAGTGACAATGTGGCACTCTGCAGATTATGACTGTCACACTCCTTCCCTCTGACGACCTGACGCTTTCTAAAATCTCCTTCTCTGTGAAGCCAGCTGAGCTGGACAATCCAACTCCCCACACACACAGTCTCTGGTCTATGGACGATGTCACCACTAGTCCATTGCCTAGAAACGAAACACCTGCCAGACACAGATTGGTGTATAAGAAGCAGCCTGAACCTGGTAGATTATAAGCTAACCAGTGATGCTGGAGGCATGGGGCAGTGCTCTCAATAGCAAGAACCTCCAGCCTTACAGAGTGGAGACTATCACCAGAAATAGAGAGACCCAGTACTGCCAGTGCATTATCATCTCCCACAGTGGCAACGAGGTAGAACCCATCACTCACTGAGTGTGAAAAGAAAGCCAGGATTAGGTTCTGCCATAGTGAAGTATTAGCTATCCACCTGACCTTTTCTGATTGACAAGTCATTGACACCAGATTGATGAGCCTGGCATACAGTCAGAGGGTGGATGCATTTTTCCGCAGTTTCTTCTGATCCTGAATGACTAGCACTCGATGTAGGTCCAGAACTAGAGTCTTCTGGCACCAGTGGAGTCCACACTGCCACTCTACCATCAGTGGCAGCCGAGAGCAGACATAGAGTCGACTCAGTAGCTGTCACCCGATGGGTGGGTAGGACCAGATGGCTCACAGTCAGTATGCACCGATTGTGGTACTCCAGATCTCCCAGGGAACTGAAGCTCCGTGTCTCCTCGGTGTAGATGTAGTGTCTGGTAAGGGAATCGTCCAGTAAGTTGTGAGTGCGGGATTCAGTCGAACCTGATAATACCATCGGAGCATCCTGCAGCCACATAGTGCCATCCAGGAGCCCCGTCCACCACTGGAGACAGAGGGAGAGAGGTGAGGGCCATGATCCTGGATTCTGGGACCAGGCTCTCTGCCCCAGGGCCCCTCCCTCTCCTTCTCCTCTTGCCCTTCCTCTTCTGGTGACTGTCCATGTCATCGTGGATTGATAGTTCAGCCTCCAGATGAACTCCAAGTTCATCTCCTCCGCTCACCTCACCAACTATGAGCATTGCCACAAAATTCTTAGCGGGCTATAGGAATCGTCTAGCAGAAATAAATCTGCACCCTACATCGATCAGTAGTGATACAATGCATATATACTAGAAGGGTTCCTATAAATTGTCACACTCATTGAACCATTCACCACTATCACATTTGGACTTTAATCACCTCTAATCTTCCAGACCTTGAGGCTGGCCCTGGCCCCTCCAGAGAACAGCAGTGTGTGAGACCTCCGTACACTTGGTGAGGTGCTCAGTGCTCTGACTGTGGAGATGTGGCCCTGTAAGAACCTCCTCTCGCTCACGTCCAGCGAGCCATCGTCAGAGGATGGCTGGAGGCTCAGCAGACACACACTGCAGTCCTCGCTTCCTACTGCCACCAGTCCACAACCTGTGAGGCATATAATATTATAATATATTCAGTTCAGGAATAATAATGTTTTCCTATACCAGTGACTGGGTCAGAGAAGACCATCTGTAGCGATACAGCCTCTCTTCCAACAAAACCTTTCTACAAGGAGGTACGCATACATTATGCTAAGACATTAGAGTTTAGGTAGAGTTTTGCTCTACACTTGCCTGTAGAACAGGAGCTGTGAGCTGCAATGTCAGGTCCACCACTCTAATCGACACAACCAACTTCTTGATGAAGACCACCACAGCTTGCTTGGTTTGCAGCAACTATATACAGTAGAAAGGATCCCATAACCTGTTAAAATCTGGTGCTATATATACCTGAGACAGGGGAGTGCAGCCGTAGGACCTGTGGCCTCCTCCACAGCTAACACTCATCAGCTGCCTGTTCTCCATCACACTGTACAGCACCATATCTGTCTGCAGTTGAAAGAAAGCTGTTAGTTTATGGGATTATTATTATCAAGACTCACGGAATGAAAGCCAAGAACGAGGTGGTGACACTCAGAGTTGAACTGCCGCTCCACCCAATCCATCCCTTTCACAGGCTGCAGTGGTACACATGACCAGTAATGCACCTTGTGCTGCATGCTCACCACAGTACCCTGTAGCTGGAGAGTTCTGTCAAGCTGCCAGTGTGTGGATGAAGGGAGAAGGTCCTGGAGTGGCCATCTCTGCCACAGCTGGTGACGAATCCTCTCCACAGAGAGATGTGTGTCACTCCGTTGGCCCCGTGGACACCGCGCAGCGACTGCAGTGGCTCCAACCACTGTGTGTGAGAGGCATAGTGTAACACTGCAACACTAATAGTGTGAGGTATATACTTCTTTTGAGGGACTGGTTTGGAAGACATGTAGAGAACCCTTTCTGTCTCCACAGACCAGGAAACAAGACTCAGTTTGCTGGCAGCAACTTTCATCATCATTTGCAGCGGAAATACCAGAGCTAGTTTGAAGGCTCAGGGACTCTGGTGAGGATATGATCGTGGCAGCTGTCACCCAGCGGTGTTTAGAGAGTGGCAGTCTCAGGTGAGTCAGAGGAATGGCAACTTCTGATGCTAGATCACTGGCTTCAGGTACTCCCCAGACAACCTGCACCGCAAAACAGAGTTCCCTCCACACACTAACAGCTCCTAACACTACCTCACCATCTCCCCACTGGGTCCACATGACAGCAGAGTGTTGGAATAACCTTTAAATGAGTCGAGCCAAGTGAGAGAGAACACCTTCCCCTGGTGAGCACTCCACTGGAGGAGATGCTCGACACCCAATGTCTCTGGTTGCTTTCCCAGGTGGAGTAGGGCAACACATCCCTGGAGACTTCCCAGAGCCACCACTGGGAGTCAGGGGAGAGAGCCATGGCAGCGTAGCCAGAGAACCGACTGTCTCCGTGGATTAGCCTCCACACGTGCCAGGGGATGTCGCTCTGAATGGATATCGGCAGCATACAGCGACCTGAGAGAGTATCACAAAGTGAAGAACGGACGGAGTTTGGGGTTACGAAACACAAACACGGTGCTAGAGAGGCAGAGTACAGTCCTGCCACGGAGCTCTACTAATCTCGGGGTCTCTTCTACTGCAGGCTCACTTGCTGGCAGTGTGGTATCAACTGACCAAGAACCTGCACCATACTAACACACCACAGTTCTTTCTGGTCCACGTGCAACTCACAGTCATTGCTGTGTGTCTCGAGTCCAAAGAGTCTTATGCTGCAATCCCCGCCACCTGTTGCCTAAAGATACAGCATATCAGTATTGATGGTCAAGTGGTGATGAACAGCACGTACTACAACGCCAGAGTGTTCGTCCACGGCCATGCTCCAGATGCTCCTACCTCTGTGTCCCTCCACTACCTTCACACACCGGCCCTGTCCGTCCCACACTCTGCACGTGGCGTCTTCTCCGATACTGATGACACCGCCATCGCGGAGACATCGACCGCCCCACACTCGAGCAGTGTGTCCGTGCAACACCAGCGAACATGACTTCATCTCACCCCTGATATATACAAATGCAGGAACTTGCTGAAAATCATTGCCATTCCTGTTTTGCAAGCGCAATATGCTCCAATCTTGACCCAGGCGTTTCTGGCATTTGGAACTAATGCACATACCTTTCCATTGACTTCCAGTCCGTAGGCAGGTCCCAGACGCGAACAGTTCTGTCGTCAGACACAGAGACTAGGCGTGATCCACACTCACCAATCCCGACAGAGAATATCACACCCTGCGCCACAATCAGCAATCACTAGCATGACCCCATGCTCTGATCCATCTACCACGGTAGAGAGTAGCATACCTCATGTCCACTGAGAGTCAGACAGATCCTCTGCCTCTCAGTTTCAGAGCCATGAGCACCTGCTGAGGAGGTCGTAACAACATCTTCTCTCCTGTCAGTCACCACACGCCACAGGAGGATGTCATTGAAGACAGTTCCAGACAACACGGTCAGATCAGACCCACTGGATGCCTCCAGCCTAGCACTGTAGCTGTAGACTGATAGCTAGGGAAACCACACACACACACTGCTGGCTATTTCAGTCAAAAAGATCAAGTAAGCGAAGTAAGGAGGTAAATGATCAAGTAAGGAAGCCCAGCTAGACCAGATGAAGTAAGGAACATTTATCCAGTAGACTTCTACTAATAGAGCTTGGATACAGTATGCAGTTCAATTCGCAGTAGTAGTTAGCAATGATGCGTGTTTCTCCACTGCGGCTACTGGACTGAATGATGTGAACTGTATTGTGTGCTGTCACTGTCGCCACGGAGCTAGACCCACTTCCAGAAGATCCACTGCACTCCAACCAACACACATCTAGTATCCAGTCATCAAGGCATAGCGGCGCTGGGCCACACTCAATCCTATAATACACCGGCACACAGTGTGATAGAAAAGGGAACAATGAATAGGCTTGGTACACTGAACAATACAAAAGACTTTTAGGCCAGTGCCAAAAGAGCAACTCATTGACTTGGAGCAATTGCTGTGGAATTTTAAACTCAACGTCTTCAATAACTAAGCCAGTTTTGCAGTCCAAACCCAGCCAGATAAGGGCATTGTTCTACCAGTAACGTAATACTATGACTAATGGACAAATTTTCTGCCTGCTTTGAGAGTAATAAAATTATGCACCTTAACGATGAGCCAGCATCACCTGGAGGAATTAGCGTCATAAATCTCAGCCTCTTCTGACCAAAGATTAAAATACTGTGACTGCCTTCAATAGGTTAGAACGAGAGAGTGTGTGATATATGGACGTTTTTAAAATTACTTTGCTAGCCTCTGGTCGCATCGTCCGTGAACGGTAAGTTGCTACGCGAATTCAGCGCCGGCGTCCAGCCGCGACGGCTTAGCAGGGACGGCTTAGCGGAGACTTTATCGCGCGGTGTACTTTTGAATCGTGTGTGTTGAGATCGAGGTATACATAGCTAGCTAGCGCGCAAACAAAAACGAAGTGTCAACTCTGGCGCTCTCGCTTTCCTGGTGTTCTTTAATACTATTATAGTGTGTCTCGATCTTCTTCTCTCCTTCTCTCCATCTCTCCTTCTCTCCTTCTCTCCTTCTCGTGCTCCTCGCGTTTTCTCTCTCTATATACAGCACAGTCGCGGTGTTCTGGGTACGAGTGTGACAATGGTCAGTGCACAACGTTTTCTTCTGCTCGCTGTAACGATGTCGACGACTGCATTGACGGAAGTGATGAGGAAGGCTGCGGTATGTTCTCTTATAATACGCCTCTCTTGTCTCCGTATAATACAGAGCAAACACACCAATGTGGCTAAAGAGTCTGTAGACATTTTTAGATCTCAGTGTCTGTGTAAAAAAAATAATGGGGTAAAAGTTCTTACTTGTATAATAGCTATATACGCCTGGTCATGTGTGTATGAAACTGCACATAGCTATTATCCCAATTGCATTCTTTCACTCTCCAATTTTAGTAACATTTTCTAAATATAGCTAGAGCCCTTATAATGTGTACACCCGTGACCCACACCTTTTCCTGTACATCTGTTTATCCAAAGGTTAGTGACACTTCCTCTGTCTGAGGAATATGAAGCTACTCAACCTTTGAGTCCCCGTGGGTGTGTATATATATAGGGCTTTGTCATTGGAGAACAAAGAGAATGTGTTGACTTCATAGTGGCTAGAGTTCTAGATCCTGTCTTGGGAATATCACTAGATGAACATTTTTGGCAAGTGGGAGCCCATATGTTTTCTGTAGTACTGCCAATACTTTAAGTCTCAGAAAAGGAACCGAAAGTTTATGTTTATCATAACTGTTTTTTTTTTTACAACAAAGTGAAGCGACTGCAGATACTTTAATGTATTAGTAAAGTGTATTATCAGGTGTACATGCAAATGTTAAATTTCACAGCGCTTTATACCTAAAACCTTCGCAAGTTAAATTTCGTGGAATTGTGAAAGTTATTTGAGCGGAATGTTTCAACCTCAGCAGCTTCGCTCACCTGCTATAGTAACCACGTTTACAAAAAGGACGTTTTTTGTAGTGATTCGTGAGGTTTTCGTAAACTCATTCGTATAATTCTTTGTTATGTTTTCACAGTGGACCTTGGTCTTGCCATTGGCCTAACTATCTTCTTCTTCATCCTCTTCTGCGTCATTGCACCCATCATCATATGCGTCTGCATCTGGCTTTGCGTGGCTGGAGCCTTTGGAGCAGCTTTCGGAGGAGGGTCTCACAGAACCGTGACAACCGTTCAGACTACACCCGTCACCATGGGCACTACACCAGTTGTTGCAACAACCAGTGTAAGCAACGTATATAGCTGTTACTTTAAACTACAGAAAGAGATCCTAGACAAGTGTACTAATAAACTGTATAGCTATAACTACTGAGGGAGATAGAGAGAGGCCTGAAAGAATGGAGAGGAGACAAGGAGAGAGAGAGAGAGAGAAAGGGGTATAAGATATAAGAGGGAGTAGGGTGTTCACAGGTTCCCACAGAATACACGTATACCTAAGGAAAACAGAAGGGGAGAGAAGAGGAATATGTATTGTTCCTACAGACTACTGGTCAAGTGAAGACTGACTATCCTCCACCTTACAATACTGGAGCTGCCTACCCTGCCCAGTCTGGCTACCCTGCACAGCCCTACCCTGCCCAGCCCGGTTACCCTCCACAGGAGTACCCGCCACAACAGGTGGCCTACCCTCCTCCTGATCCTGGCTACCCCACTCAGGCATCCTACCCTCCTCAGTAGATGTGGCCTTGCCTTAGTGCACACAACTTAATTGACCTATTTGACTGATGTATCTATCTTCTTTACTATGCTGTGCATTTACCCAATTGTGCGCATGCGCGCATTGTCACGTGAGCTGCAAATGTGGGTGGGGCTCGAAGTTATCTTGTATACAGCTAGCTGCTCTAGTCCCGTTTGCCGTGCCATGAATTTGGCGGTACGACTTTCTGTTACAGGTCTCTTTGCCATCTCACTGGCTGTGTCCGCCATCGGTAAGCCTATCAGATCATCCGCTTTGGTATAATTATAGCTAGCGAGCTACTGTAAGTCTGTGTATGCGGTGCGACATAGCCTGTGTGTGCTGTGTGCGGACGCTGTTTCCTTCGCTGTGTCTCCCGGCAGCTGGCTGTCCGTCCTCTGACTTCGACTGTGACAACGGAAACTGCGTCCAGGCCTCGCTCGAGTGCGACGGACGCGACGATTGCCATGACAACAGCGACGAGAAATACTGCAGTACAGGTGAGCCAGAAGGGCATCATAAACTCACATATACGTACCTCCAGAAGAAATGAATCCATGCGTCCATCCACTTCGTTCTTGACAGCTGCTATCTCCATTTCTCAGAGATCTGAATCTCGCCTCTTTCAATTGCTGGTCTTTTCTTTCACTCAAAGTATCTCTGACTTAGTGTTCTCACCTCTTCCCTCTCCCTCCCTCCTCCTTCCCTCTCCCTCCCTCTCTTCTTGCAGCAACTGTGATAGGAATAGCTACAGGTGTCGCCCTCGGGTTTCTCGTCATCTTCATTGCTATCCCCATTCTCACTTGTCTCCTGGTCTGGTGTTGTTTGGTGGGGCGAAGAACACGCAGACCGACGTCTCCAGATATGTACCACGTCCAGTCAACGTCGTCAATGACTATTATATCTTCAAATGGAATACAAGATGTAAGTGTAGGTTAATAGATTTAATATTAAAAGTCTCGTTTTCTAGATCTCAACTTTCAAGAAAGATAAAAAGGTCTAGTGGCTTCAGTATCGCGTTGTTGTGCTGATTTTTAAAGTATATATCACACCGTCACAAGGGTCCTTTGTGGAGAAGTGTCGAGTCCATTGTAGGCAATTGGACTGTGTTTAGCACACACAAGTGGCTTGGGATTTGTAGTGCAAATTTCAAGACAAATTTCATTGTCATGGTACCACTCTGTATCTGTAGGTCTGTATGAAGTACACGGCCTATATACTAGGTATGGTAATTGAGTTTCTTTTCCCTCAGGAAATGGTAGCTCTTGTTTCAAAAGAAGATGACGAGTGGCGTCCACAAACAGACTAACTTTTTTTCTCCTTCACATGTTTTTTTCGTTCATCTCCAACTATTATTACATGTCTATCACAAAGTGTTTTTGCAGGTAACCATCATGCATCCATCAGAGCCGGCCGTAGATACGCATGCGCGCGTGGATGTAATCACGTGATGTATAAGCGTATGCAATGATGTAAAGGGGACGTCCCTTCTAAAAAGTCAGCTCACAAAACTCGACGAACGTATACACTACACGAAGTGTAGTGGGTCTTGCAGCCTGCGCCATGGGTTCTTTCACTCTCCTTTCAGCTGTCTTGGTAGCTGTACAAGTGGGAATTACCTCTGGTAAGCGAGCCACCCCTGGTAGCTGTTTCAACGGTCAATATCCGTTCTTTCCTTCGTTCGTTCCCAGCGGCGTGCTATGATTCGACCAGTTCGAGTGCACCAGCGGCCAATGTATCTCCAGCTCTCAGAGATGTGACGGCTACCACAACTGCTACGACTGGAGCGACGAGGCAGACTGTTGTAGCAGCTACGAGTCTACTTGCAGAGACGGCAGTTGCATCTACAGTTTTGAGAAGTGTAATGGACGCCAGGATTGCGGCGATGGAAGCGACGAGGCGGACTGCTGTACCAGCGACCAGTTTACCTGTGACGACGGGACGTGCGTCGGTAGCAATCATAGATGTGACGGCATTAGAGAGTGCAGCGATGGAAGCGACGAGGCGGACTGCTGTACCAGCGACCAGTTTACCTGTGACGACGGGACGTGCGTCGGTAGCAATCACAGATGCGACGGCATTAGAGAGTGCAGCGACGGAAGCGACGAAGACAACTGCGGTGAGCTTCAACGACTGAAGCGGCTTAGCATGAGTAGGGGAAAATGTCGACTATTGAAAAGTATATGAGTAGCCTGTAGGTATACACCCAGCATATACGAGGAATGAAGGTAAAACACACAAACACAGTACAAAACTAATGAACAAGAGTGTGATGAATTTGGATGTCCCTACCTACACATGCATAACCTGCTATGTGCTGGTATTTGGAATGTGTGTGGTATAGATACTGTAGACGTCCCTATATCTTTGTGCAAGTATAAGAGGTGTGTGTTTGTTGTGGGTGTATGTACAGCCCCATGTTATCATTTCGAGTGTGATGATGGAGATTGTCTGACTGGAGACTATGAATGTGACGGATATGAAGACTGTAGCGATGGAAGCGACGAAGACAACTGTGGAAGTGCAGGTTAGGAAATCATCTCTTCTCTCCTCTCTTCTCACTCTGCCTTTTCTTACACCACAACTGTCTACAGTTCAACCAACATTAATGGAATACACCCCTCCACCCCCCACACACACATTACAGAAATAGTGGTCGGTTGCTTGGGTGTAGGGATTGGGGTGCATTTGACTGTCTTTTTTTGCTAGCATGACACAATAATTTTAACACACACACACGACACAGCAGATATAGGCCTTATCATTGGACTGACTGCACCCTTTGCTGCCATGGGACTAATAGCCTTCATCTGTGTGTCTGCTGCCTGCTACTATGGCGACGACACCGAAGTGTCCGTGTTCCCGTCGCGTCGCACGAACGCCCGCGAGACACGAAGTGATCATGGTGACTTGTAATAATCTCCAATCGTCGTCGTCGTCGGGGGCAACGACCAATCGGTTTGTGGACGGTTCGTCGATGGGACAGATTGGGTGCTACAACGCCCCACCAGCCTACTCTGTCACTCCTGACCCTGCTGAACTGGTACGATATAGGACCCTAAGTCTAGTACATATATAATATAGAAGGAACCCTTTGAGGGAGAAAACCTTAAACTCATATACTTTCCCTGCCAATTGTACATATAATTCTTTGTAAGCTAGGGACCTTCTCTATGGCAATCATCCACTGTCACAAAATTTCCCGCTCTGATTACAGAGAATGACAGTTCATCTCTTTCTCCCCCCTCTCCTCTTCCCTCCTACAGGCTGCAGTTGACCCATCGCCTCCACCTCAGTACTCATTCGATAGCCCACTCACAAACGCTGCCCCCACACTTGCACCTACAGAAACCAACAGCTCTGAAACTCTCTCACCGTCTCCCACCCCCTCTGCCCCCTCCCCTCTCTCGGAATCTCTGTCTGAGGAGGATTTCCCTGTAATTATTAGCGACCAGGATCGCCAACCTTTGCTTCAACAGTGATTGCTTGTTTTGCAGTATGTTGTGTTTTTGGGCAACTGACTATTCCAATATGGTGTTGCTTTTTTTAGAGCATTTATTAGCCAGTTATTATATAGTCATGTGACTATAATTATCATTCCGACAATATTTTTCGAGCGAGGCTGAGGACGCATGCGCATATGTGTAGTCGCCGATGCGCATGCGCGAGGTCGGGCACATCGAGGTTGCAGCGCCATGTCCGCGTCGGAGTTGACCGAATTATGTGCGCATCCGCTTGTTTGCTACTGCATAAACCAGCTATAAATGCGGACGGTCACTTCTCTAGCGCTGTATATACGCGCCGTTGCTTGCTGAAGTTGGTGTCACGAGCTTACTGCACCGTTTAGCTGCTGGCAATAAAGATGAGTCTCCAGGGTAAGCTCTTACAAAGCACTCTATGCGATATTTATTCTTCATAATTATGTTCCATCATTTGCTCAGGTTCCTCAGAGAATACTACAGTTGTACCAGCTACTACAGAAGGTAATTCACACTTCGCCTAAAATACTTACGCTGCCCTATATATAATAATATGCATGAGTGCACGATGTAATTGTGGGGTCACGGTTAATTTTCCAATACCAAACAACAACGGTTGAAGTGCCATTACAATACCCACGAAAGTATAACAGAGTGAAGAGTATATAGCTGTGTGCAGCCCTAACATGATTATCTAGAGACCATTATTACGGTATATATAACGGCAGCGTCTCACTAGGGCCATTATTATATAGCTACATAATATACAACAACCCAGAGCAATATGGCTTGATGGATAGTTTATCAGTTCCAACATGGTCCTTTACTCAAGGGGCTCCACTATTACTCCATCACATCCTGTTGTGTTCAGAGTAGTCAGGATACTGAACACAGGATGCACCATCACTACCATTGTGAAATGTGAATCATATGCTACACACAGCTGCTTTACAGAAACCCACCATGAAAAGAGTCTGCCTCAGGCTGAACCCTGGCCTCTCCTTCCTCCCAAACCGCTTCCTCTCTATTGTATAATACTGCATAACCCACTTCCCCAGGCAATGCAAACCCAAGTCCTTCATTTTCAGCGTCACGACGAATGCAGTAGTAAAGTCTTTGAGCTTGCATGTGTGTGTGGTGTGTGTGTGTGTGCATACTACAGCTAATGCCAACAGCAGGAATTCACTTCGATCAAAATATTCTCCGTACAACCCAACTATGATTGCATATACGTAGCAGGAAAACATTGTCAGTCAACTGATTGCTCCCCCCCCCAACTTCATTGGATTGAATTTATCAATCTTAGGTATTATAACCCGGTGAAGAAAGCTATCCATTCCAGAACTACGTGCTTACATTTATTCGTGTTTTTTCTCCTCCTGTTTTATGGACAGAACAAGACATTGCTCTCGGAGTTGGTCTCTCCATTGGACTGTATGTGCTGGTGTGTGTGCTGGTGCCTCTGGTCGGCTACGTAGCGTTCCTCTGGTGGAAACACGACCCGTTCGGTCTCCTGTTTGGCAGACGAGAATACTCCGTGTCCTCAGCTGGGGACAAGGACAGCAGAAGAAGGAACAAGGCTATTGCTACAGTGGTAGGGGGATGTAGCTATTATAAAATGCTATAGTGTTATGGTAGGGGAGTGTGTGATACTCAACATGCTGGTAGCGTTACAACTTAGTGCCCACGCATAGTTTTCTGCAAGTTCCACAACATTATGCTAAAAAGCACATGCACTTTCGCCCCACAAAACTTAGTATAATATATAATTTATATAAAATTGTAAGTGTTCTGATGCCTATATACTATATACTGTACTGAATCCATAGACATTAACGATGTCTGTTTCTGTAGTCAGTGGAACTCGGTAACAGAGGCAGCGACCACCCTCCCCTCTACCCAATGAAGGAACAGACACTGCCCAAGACGAAGCCAGGTCAATCAGCAGAAGAACTGACCGAGTCGTTTGTCTACACGCCTCCAGACACCAGCTCCACCTCCAACGGCCACCAACACACCAGGGAGTCTGTCAAGACTTCCCCCGAACCACAGGTTTCATTCGAAGAGAAAGCAGCAGCAGCAACGGAGGAAGAGCATAAGCCGAGTAGCGAAGCAGTGCACAACTGATTTATCACGAACTGACTTTTAAATCACTGTAGCTAGATTTATGGAGTAGTGTATATACAAAATGTCAACGCTGTCTTTTATGATATTGAATTTATATACATTGGAGTTTCTCAAGGAAAAGAACGTTTGAAGGGATAAGCCAAGTTCATTTGAGCAACGCCAGTACACCCATCAGTCACTAGAAACCATTTTGATTCATCAGTCAATATTTCACTTGCATGATCGATGTTGTCGACTCACAATAGCTATGAATACGGTAATAATAGTGCAGAGTTTCAGGTGTTCGGAGTAGCAGTCGATGCCGGTGCGGTTGATTTTGTGAGTCGGTGATAGTTGGGCAGCACCTTGATGAGGTAGTCCAGCTGTTGCTGGTTGTTGTTCTGTGAGTGACAGAGAGAAAACAGCTACTGTATGTAGAACAAATGAAATCGAATATTTGCGAGCAAAGGCGAGTGCAAAACAAACTTTCAGAAGCTTATGCTCTTTGTAAAACATTCGATAATGGCCACGATATAAAAGGCAATTCGAATCTTCACTTGCTCGAAAATAAAGAGTTTTGTGCTTGAGAAAATGAAGCTATATACAAGAAACAGTGCTATAGAAGCCTCGAAATTCACACAAAAGTTCTTATAAAGTACGATAACCTGAGTCGGTATCTTCTTGGTGTATCTGTGGCATTCCCGGCCGTGTAGGACGGTCCCGGTGGGCAGAGTTTCCTGACTGTCCAGAGAGCACCCAGCACCCACCGAACAACGATCCGTCACCTTGACTCTCTCGCTAACTCTACCTGCAGGTTGAAAAATTGGTCACTGCTGTTTTGAGACCTCCCTTGTTATTGACACTGCACACTCCAGCTATATTAGAGGTATTCAGGATGGTTGGTTGGCCTGTCCTTCCCTCCACTTGCTTGCTAAAAGTACAAACAATTTAGGCCACCCTATTCTTTCACTGCACTCTCCAGCTATAGTCAAGGTATTCAGGATGGTTGGTTGGTCTGTCCTTCCCTCCACTTGCTTGCTAAAAGTACAAACAATTTAGGCCACCCTATTCTTTCACTGCACTCTCCAGCTATAGTCAAGGTATTCAGGATGGTTGGTTGGCTGTCCTTCCCCCCACTTGCTTGCTAAAAGTACAAACAATTTAGGCCACCCTATTCTTTCACTGCACACTCCAGCTATAGTCAAGGTATTCAGGATGGTTGGTTGGCCTGTCCTTCCCTCCACTTGCTTGCTAAAAGTACAACAATTTAGGCCACCCTATTCTTTCACTGCACACTCCAGCTATAGTCAAGGTATTCAGGATGGTTGGTTGGCCTGTCCTTCCCCCCACTTGCTTGCTAAAAGTACGTACAATTTAGGCCACCCTATTCTTTCACTGCACACTCCAGCTATAGTCAAGCTATTCAGGATGGTTGGTTGGCCTGTCCTTCCCTCCACTTGCTTGCTAAAAGTACGAACAATTTAGGCCACCCTATTCTTTCACTGCACACTCCAGGTATAGTCAAGGTATTCAGGATGGTTGGTTGGCCTGTACTTCCCCCCACTTGCTCACTAAAAGTCCAAAAAGTTTAGGCCACCCTATTTTCAACAGTCATTCCCGAGGAATTTTTGCACTGCACATGCCAGCTATAGTCAAGGTATTCAGGAGGGTTGGTTGGCCTGTACTTCCCCCCACTTGCTTGCTAAAAATACAAATGGTTTAGGCCACCCTACTTTTGACTGCATTGCACACTCCAGCTATAATCATTTAGAGTGGTCCGTTTGTCTGTCGGTCCTACCTAAAACACTGCATCAATGTTTGTGTATTTCTCACTTTTGGCTTCAAAAGTGTTTCCATCACCAACCGACAGACTCCCACAATCTGAATTCCAGAGTCAAGTACGAATTATCAATGACATCACAATTACATCAGCATTAATCGTGTGTACACGCAGTTAGGGGATACGGGCTCCGACTTCAAAGATGTTTCCATTGCCGATGACCATAGTTGGGGTGGACCCATCTTCCCTTTTGCTTCATACGGAGAAAAAAGACACACGAAATATTCTATAATACGGTGGACCTCCTACGTAAGGATACAATTAGTGAAGGGCACAACGTTTCTAATTAGTGAACACCGGGACGCTTCGTGCCTCACACTATACATTAGTGCTTCAATAAAGGGCAGTTTCAATGTCCTCAAGGTGTCCCTTATGCAGAGGTTTCACTGTAATCAGCATCAGCAGTGTTCAGTTCACTAATGGGTGGACAACCCTGCTAATTAACCTGTTGATGATCGTGACCTGCTCTTGAATTAGGTTACGCTCTCCGATGACAATAGGTCCTCCCTGGGCAAGAATGTGAGCACTAGGGTGCACCACCGTCCCACCTCCTGCCGACATCACACATCACACTTGATTATAACCACTGAGAAGGCGTATAGTGGAGCTACATAGTACGTCACTAATACTACACCAAATGGGGCAGAAGGAAGTGTCTACATTAGCGAGGTGTCCACAACTCAGGAGTTAAATCGCTCCCAAGAACTGTTCTTTGGGAAAGAAAGGGTGCCTCCATTAGAGAGGTGTCCTCATTTCAACAGGGTGTCCTTGGAGAGGAGCCTACCTACCGATCGTGATGTCTCCGAAAAGCTCCGCTTCCGAGCAGACCACAACGCCTTTGGCGATCTTAAAGTCGCTGCACAGGAAAGAATAGTTATCAACGCGTCTTGAGGACCGGACTAACAGAGAGAAAAGGGACCGCGGCACACGTACCCAGAGTGTTTCTTGTTTGGTGTCTTGAAGGCCGACATCTCGAGTTCAATATTTCTATTCGCCGCGATCGTCTAATTTAGCGAAATCGTAGCCGTGACGACGCGCTTCGCTCTCTCTTTAGCTCTTCACTGCATAGCTAGCTGCATGCAGTGCGCATCTTTGTGCTCACTCGACTGAGTCTGACGACTGTCCGGACGTCGTTGTCAGCTAGCTAGGCGCACTGAGCATTCCTGTGGTTTTCCTGCGTCTCCAGCAAATAAAAAGTGAGTTTCGTAGCTAGCTCTTTGTTTAGCTATCAGCCGGGTTTTCTGGGTACCTAGCGCGTAATGTACCACTATACTTTTAACAACTCCGATATCCAACAACTCTAGCATGATCATTAGCAGTCTACTTCTCTACGAATAACTAACTGAATTGCTATAGCCAGTGAGAGTGTATACCCCTTTTTGCAGTTCTGTCGCGCAAGAGAGCCGCCGGTGAGCCGCCATTTGGGGGAGATGCTTCGAATTCGCGCGTTCCGAGGAGGCTGTCGCGGAAGGGTGGCTGCAAAAATCATAGAGGTGAGCGCAAAAGTCTCTGCGTAGCAGTTCACTGCTAATGCATGGCTAAAACCATTTGTGGGCATGGCTAGCTATCTTGGCAGACTGCGTCTCACTTATTTGTAGCAGCTAACGTGTGTGTGTGTGTGCAAGCTAGGATCTCCCTCGCGTAGCCTTCACTTTGTAGAATAATTGTACCCCATCATTCGTAATTAAACGTACAAACCTGATACAGATGATAGGACGAGCACTTCTGCGTGGGTTTTAAACCTGCAGCCAAGTCTCGTATTATAATACCAAAGTTTTGGAGAAGGCCAGAGAAAGTGGCCTGTTATATGTTAATTTAGAACTGTGTGGTATTTTGCAGACTCATTGGTAATTCGCAGTGTCACAGCCCATCGTGGTGTGACACCGCTTACGACGCCATTTTAAGGCAACACTCAGCGCATGCGCATGCATGCGCGATTACGGAAGCCCATTGGGGCAGCCGGCCGGCCGTACGCGCGCACGCGATAGAACCGTTGTCCCCGCGCGTGCGCAGCCTATTATACACGTTAACGTTAGTTAGTTGACGCGGATCTTCCGTCTTTACGACAGCTGCTTCACTGTAAGTTATGATATCTAATCATCGCGCGGCGTAGCTACTAACGAAGTACACATCTCTGCAGTTTTTTAGCCCCTGTATTTTACGTGGCATTATGGTTGCTCTTTGATAGCATCTTCTGGAGATGCTAGCTAGCAGCCATAGCTAGTCTGGTCTGATTACCAATTCAACCACCAAATGCAGTATATTAATGCCAACCCCCTAGAGGCAATTGAATTGTGTGGATACTGCTTAGTGAACGCTATGCTCTCGGCTATCCTATTGGTGAACCAATGTGCTACAGGCGGCTTCATTATACACTACAGTATTATTGTATACATGGATCGAAATTTAGGGATGTCAAGTCAAAAACAAAGGGAGCAAAAAGATGCCTACACCAAGACACAAGGTCTATCTTTCAGCGATCCTCCATGCATTTTTCGTATCTCAATGCTTGCTCGACCCTTCAATCCTTGATCCTCGGTCTGCATTCCCTCATTCATAACCCTATCCCTACATAACAAACTATCTGTGCCGACCAATGTTATCAAGTTATCTATATAGTTATCATTGTAGCGTACAAAGACAAACAAAGATGTGGGGATAATGACCTTATACATTGGTGTAGGCATCTGTTTCCCTTGTTTTTCATGACATGACATTCCTATTTCCCCCTTCATCACTTGTAAAAGGTTGTGTGGCGACCTCTGACCTATACACGTGCAC